TTACCATAAGATAACATCAAATTTATCTACATTTATATTCTATCTAAGATTTTTTATTTATGTAAATATGTATATCCATGACATTACCTTCCTTTCTAGAAACAAGTTCTACAAGGAGCAATGATCATATATTGAAGAAGTCTAAGATGCAATAAATTATATGTGTCATATACTTTGATCTTTATTCACTTTGAAGGTAGTTTATAGGTCTTCTAAGCCATCAACAATGTCTCATTTGAGAGAAGAAAGACCACCCTATTATTTGATTATTGTTAAGGCCTTTGTAACTTTGTTGAAATTAAAAATTTGTAACACCATTAAGAATTGTTCTTAGCTTCAATAAAATTACCAAATATTATAAATTACTTATAAGGTTGTGATACCAAATACATTATATCTTATTATCTATTTCAAGAAGAACATGTAATTTTTTAAGATCTTTATGTCTATTATATTATCTTAAAGATTATGACAATTACAATGTCTTATTCAATAAGTCAGCAAACAATAGTTTTTAAGTTGAATCTAATGAGTGTTGATTTTTTTTTCTCTCTTTAGCACCACAAAAATATAAAAATTAATAATAAGGATAGAAGATAGAATACTATCTTTCCTAGATCTTATTTCTCTTTTTGCTAAGATTTTTTATTCTTTATCTTGGTTTTAATGGATGTTGTGCATAAAAAGTATCAACCTTCTTTGCTGCATTTGCAAGTTTCTTTGCTAGAATTTTGTATTCATTAATATCATATCTATGCCAATGAATAAGATATTTCAACCTATTTTAGAATTGCCTTAAATCTATAACTTCTTCCACCTCAAATTCTTCATTATTATTCACTTATATAGACGAAGGTGGCATTTGTCTTCTTCTTCAGATATTTATGGTCTTTCTAAGATAATAAAAGAGTTTCTACAACCTTAAGGATAAAATTATTAATCAACTTTTAATCTACTAGCTATTAAGATAAGAAAATAAACTAAGAGGCTTTAACAAAAGTCATATTTAAATATCTTGAATTATTATTAAATCAAGATAATTAAATACTAATTAAAAAATTATTTTTGATTATATTTTTATCATATGGTCGTATTACAATACAACATCTATTGCTTCTAAACCTGTGCATCCTTTGATATATACCAAATGAACCATAATTGGCATCATACTATCTCTTTATTTTTTACATTTGATCCATCTTTAAAAACTTCAATAAATCTTATCTCAAAGGCTTTTAAATCTTGTAAGAATATCTCCCATTTTGTTCTTTTATAATCCCACTTTATAATGGCACTTCTCTAAAATCCATCGATTCTACATCAACTCTTGACAATGGATCCTTCTTCAACTTATTTTGATTTCATTTATGATTTGGAGGTACTATAAAAAATTATATTACATTTTTCTTGTCTTTACTACAAATTTACACATAAGTTAGACCATCATCAAGTATCTTTGTTTCTATCTATATTGCAATAATATATGATTGTTCCAAAATAAAAAGATAAGATATTATATCTTGTATAAAGAAATTTTGTTCTATTGTAACATTATTAATTTAAATTCTTACATTCAAGCAAGTACTATATAATTCACCTTGTATATTATTAGTTACATATATCATCTATTTATGTTCAAAATCAATTTGCGACTTCCTTTGTTTATAAAGATTCTTAGACATAAGATTTATTTTTGAATGATAGTCAATCAAAGAAACAACTGACTCATCCATATCTCCAACCTTTACTTATATCTCTATAGTTGCTCTAACTCAATACTTTTAAGTATAATAACTAAAACTTCTTTTTTTTTATCACTTTGATTATAAAAAAAAATGATTATAATTATTTTTCTTACTTGTAGATTATTTGCAATAATTATCAAATTTATCTTCTTCATTGTCATATATGCATGCATTAATAGCATGACTTAATCCAACTTCTTCTATTAATTGTGTCTTTCATTTAATATTATCAATAATGACGCCATGGAATTTTTTCTTGGTAATTTCTAAAATCTCCTTCAATATAAATTCAACCTTATCATTGAGCACACATTCTTCAAGTATTTCTTTTAAATCTATTGTTGCTTCAATATTAAAAATTAGTTCATAAGTTATTGACTTATCTTTGTTTCTTATATCTTTTAATTTTTCTTTCAATATTGCTAAAGCATCTTCGATTGATAATTCTTTCAATATTGCTAAAGCATCTTCGATCTTATATTAATTTTTCTTTCAATATTGCTAAAGCATCTTCCATCTTGTAACTCCATAAATTATAGCAACAATCTTCAACAATACTTTTCATGGCATCTTCTTCTTTTGTATTATAGAAATGGTAGAACACCAAAGTCTACTTGCTTCAATATTTCCAATAAAATCATATTTGCTATTATCATCTATCACAGTACCATAACTTGTGGCTTCCATTGCTAGAATCTCATGTGCAGCCAAATAATCTTTAATCAATACTTTCATATTTCTTTTATTAAAGTTGATTTAAAAAAAATCACTAATATCCTTCAATGCCACTTTATTTTTTCAAAAAATAATACCTTGTTGCACTATCTCATTAAAGTCACTACAATCTTTTGAAGAATAAAAAACATTTTCACATCAAATACATCTTTATACATACACTTATTTGTAGTCCTTCAATTGTTTGTAGAAGTCTTTTCCTTGAGCATTGCAAGTTTGATTTAAAGATCTTACATCCCACATATAATCTCTCCAAGTCCCATGTCTTCTTTCTCTGATGTAATCATCGGAGATTAGATAATAAATATTATCAATTATGAAATAGATACTTGAATTTTAGGTACTTGCCCAACTCTTTGAATTTCAATCCTATTCTTTCTCTTTTCTCTCTTTGTAAGTAATTCGACAATATCCTCAACTTCTTTCTATTTTATTATCAATCCTTCATTTTTTTTCTTATGGTCAAGAAGAATTTCCAACTTATCTTGTAATCTTCTTTTAAGTGCTTAAAGAAACAATTCAATCTTACCTTGTAAATTAAGACATGTATCTTGTAAGTTGGAAATATGTTAGAAATTCTATAGAATGTTGTCACATAGCTCTTAGTTAGATAGTATATATAGGGACAAGAATAAAGCCTTCTTTATTCTTATCAATGCCTTTTTAGTCCTTAATCTTATTTCAAGACTTTTTAGTCTTCTTGTCTTTAGCAATAAGCATTCTAATTTAATATTATAGTATCTTTGAGTGATTTTCTAGTCTTTTTGAGTGACACAAGAATGTATCGATGTCATGTCCTTTGAGATTCATGTCCTTAATACTAATTGTTATAGTTTTGAGTATTTTCCAAAACAAACTTGTTTGCTACTTTTTCTTGAAATTATTAATATTGTAATTAGTTGTTTTATCTCTTGATTGTAATCATGACCAAAAATAAAATTCAATATCTTAGAATTGTAAAATATATATGGACTAATTAAAATTATATATTTTAGAATTTGACTACAGGTTTGTTTAAATTTTGTAACTTTAAATCTAAAACATTCAAAGCAAACAATTTTTTTAAAGAAATAAATTAAGTGAAAATAAGAAACATACATTGTATATTATACAAATCATGATGATTTGAACCCACTACTTGTGAAAGTGATAAACTGTCCAAAATCAATTACTTTACTTTCTTGAAAACGTTTCTGAACTCAAAAGCAAAAAAAGGACATTTCTATTCTTAGGAGAAAAAGTTAATTCACATGTAATCCAACTTCTTCACGAGTGATGCAAATGGAAACGCAACAACAACACCAAGAAGCTGAGTTAAAACTATTTCCAAATGATCATGCTGATGACTTGATTTAGAACTTGGATCAATTCATTCTACATTGAGCAACCTCCCATTGACAAAGCAGGAAACATAGAGATCACAAAAACTTTCCACCATATCAAAAGATCCTTTTTCCTGCTTCAGGAAGAAGTCATACACAAGTAATGAACCAGACAAACACTTTTTGAGGAAAAAACCCCAGACAAAGGAAGGGAACAATTCCGTTTTTGATAACCCACCCAAAGTTCATATCAAGCCTGAACGTGCCAGGGTTGGCTCTAATATCATCACACGTAGACCAGAATTTCTTGAGAATCGTTGGTAGATTTGGCAATTTTTGGGTCTCTGATATTTCATTCCGCGGTGGTGACAAAAGAAGGAATCCTGGCAGCTCCGAATGCACTGCAATGCAGTTGCCCGTTTTAGAATCCTCCTTGAAAACGTTGATGCGGATGCTATTCGGAACCCAGCTAAAATCCAAGGTGCCAATCAATGGAAGGCGCCTGCCACAGTGGAGCTTGTGTCAGCCTTCTCTGGTCATGGCTATTACTGGGGGGTCCTCGTTCGCAGCATGGTTGCTGTCTTTGTAATCCCCCATTACTAAACTAATCACATCTTGTCCCTTACCTGACCACTAGAACAATCAGCCGAACAGAGCCTCAATCGCTCACCGACGTGTGGACACTGCAGCCAGGAGAAGTGACTCTGACCAACTGTCGTTGAAGGCGAAATTTGAGCATGCGGTTCCTCCATCGATGGAGCATTTTAATGCAGGCGGTAGAAGTTTATTTTTTTGCGTGGAACAAACAGAATTGGATTCTGTTGCTAGATGGCAGATACATTTTTTTGACCATGGTGAGTGTTTCCTTGCTTATCTGTAACGAGCCAATGCTCATCCGCATTTGGGAAATGATTTACTGTGCCCGGGGATCATCGAAGACAGAATTAATGAACTAATGTAACTCGAAAAGTTTCCCTGTCGATGCGCGTAACTTTCCCTATGAATGAACTCCACATTATTGTTGAGGAATAGTGATTGGTCTACATGTTCACTTTGTGCGAATTCCGTGATTGACCTTTTTATTAGACAAGCGGCAGGTATCGATGAGAAAGTGACTAGCATTTAATGCTGCAATTAAAAAGGTTACTTTAATACAACCTATCTGATAAAACTTTCAACTTTCGAGGATCAATCACAGGTGCTTTTCATTTTAGATCATCGTTAGATCTGTTATCAACATTCTGCTGCCGCACAAGCTTGCGAAACGACAGCAGACTGTTCCGGTGTATGCACCACGATCTCATTCTTCAGTTACATAGGCAAGCGCGGCAAAGTGATGTATATTCTACAGACGCATGCATACAGGACCTTACACATCTGTCGTTCAACACCCGGGCTCGTGGTTGAGTTCAGATGCTGCGCAAACTGGGAGAGGAATAAACTTAGAGGGCAGCTTGCAGAAAATCGCATAGTCGCACATGCTTCGACCTGGACTACTGGTTTTGTTTGTAGTCTACAATGCAGTAATCTGCAGTGGTCTGGCATGTTTCCCTCGGGACCAGGTTCGATGTTCGCTACGCTGGAATCATCGTTCCAGCGGAGATGTTTAGCTGGTGAATGCTTCATCCGGAGAAGCATGCAGCTATTGATTATTGAACATTAGCTGTGGCATTGACGACAGAGACCATGTTTATTGAGATTGAGTTATCTGGAAAACATTCATGTGCTTGGGCATCAGTGAGTATATACTGATCCCTCAAAGGAATCGTAAAGAATGGAGCTGGACCGGACAAGTCCTTTAAAGGAATGGAGGACTGCTCAGGCTATTTCATTAAACATCCCTAGCCTCATTACTGCAGCCAAAAAGCAGCTTAGTTTACTAGCCAGAGTGAGCCAAGATCAGGCACTCACAATAACGGGACCTACATTAGATCGCGCCATTCGCAGGTACTGCGTCCTCAGATCGATTGTCTGATTGCATTTACCCATATCCAATCACCAGCCGTCTCATTGTGCTAACGGGGTTTTATTTTCAACTTCGCAGATACGAGACCTGTTGGTTGCCATTGCTTGCGAGTCAAGAGAGCGGAGCTACCGCACTCGTCCCTCCGTTGGACTGCGCCTGGGTTTGGCATTGTCACCGTCTCAATCCTGTAAGTAAGCTGAGCCTGAGATGATCTTCAGCGATTGCGTCACAGTACTTGGTGTTCGGGAATCTCAAACTCTGCCAATGTGTTGCAGATCCAGTATGCCCAGGACTGCAGGACAGTGTTTGGGAAAATTTTAGGAGCTCCAGTTCCGGAAGCGCGATTCATGGTAGTAGCTACCGAGACGACCATCCAGCTTTGGACGAAGTTGTTCCCCAATATGCCTTATGATCACTACAGCGACTCCACGACATCCACCTGTGGAGCAGAAGTGGGGAATGAAAGTGGACGGCCTATAAGCTACGATCTTGTTAACGCAGTTATGAGGCAGGTCTCGTTTCACTATCAGGTGGTTCACCGTTTCGATCGCAAATCTACCCTTTTTATCCGATCTCAGCTTCCGGGGTGCATTTTTCGAAACAAAGATCTCTAATTTGTTAGCTGAGGTGTAATGATGTGCATTGGCAGGTTTCCCAGCTTCATTTCCGTCAAGAGTCGTTTTTGCACGCTGCAGAAATGCGGTACAAGGGTTTCCTGCATCTGGCTGCGAAGTCGAAGGGGAAGCTGTTCCTCGTACCCACGTACGACATCGATTTGATGTGGCATTCGCATCAGCTCGACCCTATCGCTTACAGGGCCGACACGCTCCAAATTCTGGGTTAAGTGCTGTATCACGATGATACTGACAGCGATCGGCAGGAAGGGTCGAAACTGAGCGATTGCTTCGAAGAAACCAAGCAGCTGTGGGAGAAAACTTTCAGCCTTCCGTATGTAAAGGCGGGCGCTATGTACCAAGCCGAGGTTCCCACGTCGTTACGGTTCACAAGTTCCCCCTATTTGGATTCGCAAAAATATGGGAGGCACACGTCGAGCAGTTACAGGACTGAGCAGGAGTCTCAGTACAGTTATCTCAAGGGCCGGCAATCAGTGCAGGTAGGAACTTAGTGATCGGCGCTAGTAAACCATGTCAATGGCCGTTATCAGTTTGTACAAGAGTATATGTAATAATTTGCTGAGTTTCTTGACAGATTCGTATGGATATTCTGGAAGCGAAGTGTGTACCTGTGAAGAGGATAGGTTCTCGTGTCTTTGTCCGAATGAGGGCAATGAAAAATTGCGGGAATTTTGAAATGAACACAGAGGAGGTGGAGATTTCGGAGCAACCGCAGTGGAATCAATCACAGTGGACATTCACCTTTGAGACGTCTGTGGAAGGTGTAATTCTTGAGCTACATATGCGGAAGCCCTGTCTTATGAGAGGAGGCTTCAAGAAGAAATCTACTATTCTCGGCGAGGTGCATGTGCCCTTCAATTTGCTGCTGGCATCACCAACTCTTTCCGCGCTCGACTGGTTGTCATTCCACAAAGATGACCACATCTGAGATTTGCAAAGGAAGCCTCCAGCTGTGAGAATCTCTGCTTCCATCACTCCGCCCATCCCCTCACCCTATCTCTTTAGAGCCATTAATGCCACGTCCACTGACGACAACTTCCAGGAGATAGTAAACGGAGGCGACATCTTCAAAGTGGCCGCTGGTTGACGAGAATCGTTTTGGACCATCGGGATGAAGGAGTGTACACAGTTCGCATCCGAAAGTTGCAAAGTTGTGGCAAGCCCAATGGATCGGGAGCCAGAATTTGCATGCCAGTGGCTGAACACGAAAGAATCGTAGACATTTTTCGGCCAAATCCAGATGCAAAGCTCGGAGACCCACCCAGTAAGTCTAAATCTCAATATAAGCTGAGCTGCCCTCGCGAGAAGTTACGTGCTTTAATTTCGGAGATAAGTGCTTGCCTGGCTCCATGGATTTTCTCATTTTTTGTCGAATTTCATTTTGTGATTGCAGTTGTACGTGCGGCATCTGCGACTCAGCTGATGAACGCAAAGCAGCAGTTAGAGAATGCCACGCTGCAAAGACAGTGGGCTTTGTTTGAACCAAACACTGTCTTCACAGTGAGGAAGAACCGCGACCCTGAAATGGATGAATACCCAGAGCTGACGATTGCGGGTGGCGTTGGCTATCCTATCGGACTCGTGTCAGGAAGGTGGCTGCAATACCAAGTTCGGGACAGTCAACCCGAAGATGAACGTGGATTTGTCACTGTCGTGCGCTACACTCCGGAATGTCCCACGGGCAAAGCTACGGCACTTTTCAATTGGAAGTCCGGCGCAGTGGAGGTCACTTTAGGAGAAAATGTGATTCTCGTATTGCTCTTGCAAACTGTCACTGCACTAGCCGTTCACGATTTGCTTGGCACGATGAGCAAAAGACCGACGAAGGTGACGAAGAAGACGATACTGCCACATGGAGCAGAATGGGGTAAGATTCAGAACCAGCTTGTGCCGCCACGCTTTAACTTATGTGCAGTCAGTGCTAGCACTTGGTGAGATCGTTAGCTCTAGCAAAAGACATCGTCATCGACATCCACTGACGTTTTAATGTGGTACCACCCATGTCTACGCAGGAGCTGTGAATGTTGAGACTGGAACGAAAGGGATAGCAGCAGCAGCAGCAGCTTGTTCGAGGCATCGGTGTTGGTGGAGCATGAACTTCGAACACTGGGCACGGGACACGTATGATGTGACCCCGAAATCCGGTGCTGAATGTGGAGGTGCGGGGACATGTGGTGGGGGAGCGTGTGCAGCTGGCTGGAGCAACAGCGTAAGCTGTGGCGGCGGTGGCGGTGGCGGTGGCGGCGGCGGAGGTTGTTGCATGTCCGAGGGATATGGCGGCAGAGTTTAAGCACACACACCTTCAGTTCCATCCATTGCTCTTTTCATTTCGTGTGACATGTTGTACAAAGGTTTTGCCCCTCAAGAAAACACGCAGGTTCTGATTCAACCCACAGAGGTTGGATTCACGTAGGACGTCAACAACAGTCAGCCCGGGTGACATTTCACACCCATTGTCATAGGATCTGTAGCTTCATCCACACCACCCACTTGAACATGAGTGTAGTAGGATTCACTGCGTCAGTTGCAACAATTGCCTGTATATGTACATCAAACAGTCGAGTGTTATAAACTCTTCACAGTGCTACTTGTTGCCACTGGAACCCATCTCATGTGAGTTATTGTCACGTTTCACCAATTTTGTAAACAACTAATACATAAGAATATTACATTGCTAAAAATTTGTTTGTAACATATTGCACCTAACACATTTAAATTACTATATTTGAATACTACTGCTGGTTTTTCTAAGACTAGGTACAGGATTTTATTTAATTATATTTTTCTAGTAAACATGAAAGTTATAATTAATATTAGTGGATTTGAATATAAATTCTTTGTAATGTCTACTTTGAAATCTTAAGACAATTTTACTTTCTATTCATGGTAGAATTTGCAACAAAAACCTCAAATATATTTTTACTCTACCTCACATAACACTGGAATATTCAAAGGTACAGTGGAAATGCTTGGAGTAATTTATTTATTTATATCAAGAATAAATACTTGCTAAGAACTCTAAGATTTCTTCTAAGAGAAATATCTATAAAATTAATCATTTTCAATCAGCATTATTCTTAATTTAGTTCATTAAGGTGCAACAAGTTATTTATTTATTTATTTAAATTCTAAAAAAATGATTTAAAATTTTATTAATTAGAGTTCAAGTAAAAATAACAAAGTAATATAATTTCCTAACTGTTTATTGTATTTATGCAACATAATTGGTTATTTTAAATTATTTTAATGCTTTGACTCCCTTCAAAAAAATAACACCTATAGTTCTAAAGAGATCTGAATATAAAATTATTAATTTTAGTTATTTAATTTGTTGGTAAGTATGTTTTTCTATTTTGATTTCTATAAGTATTCAAATATATACAAATTTACAATTTATGTGCATCTATTTAAAGATTAATATTTGAAGTTTAGTTTGGTTGATGTAATTGTCAATATAAAGACTAATCTAATTTATGAAGCATTTTAGTCTTCAATTTGCCATTCTTTAATCAGTTATCACTTTATTTTTTAATTCATTACTACATAACTGTTTTAAGAAAATTATATGTATAATTCAATTTAAGTTATAGCATAGAAAACATTTTTATTATAAGTGGAAATAATACCAATAATATCAAAAAAAATAAAAGAGTGTATTGTTAAAGATATAAATCTATACAAATTAAATAATTAAAATTTATAAAAGAGAGCCATGTAAAAGTTTCTTTAGGATCACAAGTTTTGTATAGGAAAAGTATCTAAGTTAAACACTTAATAAGAATTTCCTTCCATCTAAGAAACTTCTAAAAATCATTTTTTATGTTAATATAGTGCATCCAAAGATGCATGTATATCCAAATGGCATCTAAATCACTACTACATCATTTCTGAAGAAAGATATTCTTTGCCAAACTTATTGATAATTATATCTACTTACTTAAGTAATATAGATATTTATGATATTATTTATTTATTTATTTATTATTTATTTGATCAAAAACTTGATTTGGAATTTATTAATTATTTTAATGTACTTTCATTTATTTTATAAAAATACCTAAAATTATATTCATGAAAATAGCTATTTTTTAGATATAAATATATAATTTTGATACAAAGTGATTTGTAATATCTACCTTATTCTTCTATGCATTCTTGCATCATTTAAATATTACTCGCTGATTATTTTTCTTACTTAATAATTTATTATATTTGCAGCATCTTTTACATATTAGAATCTCTAAATTTTAAATTGGACAAACTTTCATTTATTTAAAAGATAAGAATAAGAGAGATAAGATAAAGTTTTTTTTTTAAAAATAATATTTTTAATGTAGATTTCAAAAACTAAAATTTAGTTTTTAAATTTGGATTATTTCCAATTTTAAGCATTTTATTGGAATGAAGAAATATCTAATAAATTAAAAATAATGCCAAGTTGTAGAGCAATGCACAATCTTTTTAAATTTGTTGATTATGCATATATAATAAATGTGGTGCCTATATAAAAAGATGTCCAATAAATCCATGAACTCTCAAATTCTTTTATGGATCAATTGATGTCATTAACTTTGACTCTCTATATGATAAATAAAAAGCTAATCACAAATTCATAAACTACACAATCAAATTAGGTAGGTAACTATTAAGCTTTTAAAAACATAATGGAATTTAGTAAAAGAGAAATAATGTGGTATTCTAGAAGAAGACTATTATTTTAGCTAATTTAGAGTACATATGGATATTTGGACAATAAAAGAAGTTGGGCTTATATGACTTATTTAACAAAAAAGTTTGGCTATAAATGCATATAGGACTTAAGGAAATCCCTATATATATATATATATATATATATATATCTACTCTATAAGTTTTAAATGTTTGAAACAATAATGTACTACTTTTGAATTTTTTATTAAGTTAGAAATATATAAAATTAGGTAATTATTTTTTGTACATAATAAAATCTTGAAATACAAAAATTAAATGAATATGAAGGTGATTTCAAGAGATTAAGTTACTTTTGTGGCTACTTTGTCAATCTAATTCAACTTATTTAACTTTATTTGGTCTCTATTTAAGATATTATATATGTGACATATTTGAATTCAATAAAATAAAAAATAATTTAAAAAATAAATATAAAATATAATTTAAGTAAAAAAATGATGTAAATAGATATTATTGAATACATTTTGTTTTGTTTTGTTTTGTTTTGTTTTATTTATTTTATTTATTTTTTATAAAAATTAATAAAAAAGAATAAAAAACAATGATACCTCAGCACCAATTTGTTTAGCTAATATTATAGAGCATAAATAGAAAAAGAAATATATTCACATACAAAGAAGGTAGTTTAATTAAATAAAGTTATGTAGATATTTTAAGTGGCATACTGTTGTCCATTCCAAACTTGACACACATTCTTAATAAGATAACCAAATGTAGTTTATCATAATACTCTATTATTTACTTGTTATGTTAGGTGTAAGAAGATTCTTGAAGAGTACAAAATGGAAGTGAAAAGGAAGAAGAGAGCAAGGGGGGAAAGATGAGCTTTGGAAATGATATGAAGCTCTATTTTTTTAGATAGAAGGAATGAAGTACTCATGACATTGTCATAATGTGGGCCGTATAATAATTAAATGATAGGTATTTATATACATTGTACCTACCTTAAGTATAAAATTAGGTTATTATAAAAAATTTGTTATTTTTGTTCATGTAATTTTTTTGTTAATAAAAGATTGGCCTTAAGATTGATAATTATAAAAATTAAAAGATGAAGATAAGGAAGAGATAAACCATGAGAGGTGGATTTTCATCATAGAGTCCTCTCGACAACTTTTGGATAAAGAAGAAGATAGACCATAAGTGGTGGTTAGTCATCTTAAAGTCAACTTAGAAACTTTTAGATAAAGGAGAGATAGACCACAAGTAGTAGTTACTCATTTTAGAATCTTCTTAATGACTTTTTGGAGAAGGATAAGGATAAGAAGGACTACATGTGGTGGAGAGAGAAAGGACTTAAAAGAGAGAAGGAAGCACAAAAGCGTATTTTTTAGATGGTTATTGTATCTTTGATTTTAGTCAATAAAGAGCAAGATTTTAAGTCTTGGAAGAAAGTCTATTTTGATTGATTGAGATCTTTTATTAGAAAAAGCTTTTGAAATATTATTTAAAAAATTATATCCACTTATATGCAAAGTTTGAGTCTAAAAAATAACCAAGTCAAGGAAAAACAAAGTACAAAAGCAAAAGAGATTCGGTAAGATTATAAGTTAAGGGCAACAACTTTGAAGGGTCATAACTTTTAAAAAAAAGATATGGCTATAAAACTTAAAGTGTAATTGTATTTTTAAGTGAAAACCTATTGAAAAAATTGTAACAATTAGTTTAAGAGATATGTATTGAAGAATATTTTGAGGTAGGATTGTGAAAAAAATATTGACCAAAAAGTTAACTCAAGTGATTTTTTTGCTAAAAATTATTTAAATCATAAATATTTTTAAATTTTGGAATGCAAAGAGGAGATAAAATATATAGTCTATTATAAAAGGTTTCAAATCATTTTATTTATTAAATATTACATTATATAAGTCCAAATAGATGCATGTCAAAAAGAAAAGATAGAATTCAACTAAAATATATATAAATAACAAAGACTTCCACAACAAAAAGGTTTATCTTTTTCCAAACCAATCACAAACTTTTCAACAATGTTAGATGCTTAGAGGGATATTATAAAGTAATTTTGAATACGCTTGGTGCTATATAGAAATGTAAAGCATAAGAAGGATGATATCGTATTGTAATTACTTATAATATGTAAAAATTAGCTAAGACATATAATATATTCATAAGTCTTGGTATATGTTAAAATGGTTAATAGATTAATTTAAAGAAAGTGGATATAAAAAACTTTAGTTTAAGTTTTATCTATTTTGATTATAACATTAAAAAAAAAAATTAGAGGACCTAAATGTTTAATATGAAGCCTTGAGAAGAGATTATAGCCTAAAGAAGAAATTTTTAACTAGTAGGAGGCTTATTGGGAGGGATGAAAGCAAGGCATGGTTGGATGAAGGTAAGAAATGTGAATCTTTATTTCTATTGATCGAAGGCCATGTCCAATGGGCTTCAAGGAAGTTGCCCGAGGCCTTATTAGAGATTAGGGTTTCTTTTTCGAGGTCATTTGAGCTTTGGAGGCTAAGATCATCAAGTTTAGGTTTTTGGATATGGATTTGATGCAAATTTTATGTGATTTGGAGTCTTTATGAAGGAGTTATTGGTGCTCCAAATTAAGGTATTAATTTCATACCTATTTTCATTCTTTGGGATTTAACATATGTTTATGGAAAGCAACAAAGGATTGGTGATTAGAATTGAAGAGAATACTTCTTCAACTACACTTTTTATATACTTTTTGGTGAATTTGAAGTTTAAATGAAGAAGTTATATAGGGTTGAAGTCAGCACATCCAAATTAAAGGCAGTAATAAGTGATTTTATTCATTGTAATGGTTGGAGCCATATCTTGAGTTTTTGAATGAATTTGTGGCTCAAACTTTTTGGAGAAGGTAGCTAATTGTATTAAAAAACTATATA